GGATGAGCTTTGATAACTTCCCCAAATCGGTATGGTCCCAATCGATTCTCGATCTAGACCGTCAATTCCTTATCCAAATCAGTGGGTTTTAAAAACTTATTAGATTTATAAAGACACGAAGAAGATACCATGTTTCAAGATGTATCATCTTTAAGATGAAGTACTTTTTGTTTCTCAGTTCCATATATATAAGAGATTTTAAGTGGATGAATTTTCCAAGAGCAACCCTCTACAACTGACTTTTGAGGTTTTTGCTTCTAAATTTCAAACCTTATATGAACTTTGTTCTTGTTAAAGTATGGGTAGGGCATGGGCCATTATTATGTTGGTCCTCACGTGTGTTTCGCCCTTATTATAGGTCACACGTGTTTCATCAGAGTAAGTTGTGTGGTCTCATGTTTCCCAAGTTTTGATTGCGTGTGCACTGCAGAGGGTGCACCATAAGAGGAGGAAGAAATGGAGAAAGGGATCTGGTCAAGTCAAAGATCTCTTTTATTTCTATTCTATTATATTCTATTGCATGGACTCAATTCGAGGAGAATCCTATGTCTCCCTTCTCACGCTCACAAAGTTTCTTTGCATAATAAATAATGAAAAAGAGTCCCACACCTATTTGCGTATTGAATATTGAAAGAAGAGTAGAATAATATGCCTTAAAAAATTTCCTCTAGAGAATTCGCCTCACCATACACTGTCGTCTTGAAGCTTCATGGTTATTATTCTTATTATTTTTTAATAAAGCATTAAAGTTCGATCACGTGAGCCTCAAGAGCTCCCCACTTGTGCATAGACAATGAAATAAACTTTCACTTCCAAAAGTAGGAAATCTATCGAGCCACTTCTCCTTACCTCTCACAACCCTAAAAATTAAAAAGCTAAAAGGAAAAAATATTCCTTGCTAAACCTTTAATTCATCAATGGTCATTTCCATGATATTAATAATTTTATTAACAAAAAAAATAGAGCACGTGTAATGTTCTCCTGTAGGAGCATAATGTTCATCTACACCCTTGCAAAAACACTAATTTAGGAAGGTTTTTTTTTAGTCTAAAATTTTGGAAACTAAGATGATTATTTTAAAAAAAAAAAATTGAATTTTGAGCTTTGTGACTTTTAGATTTAACCTTTAAAAAATTAGAGCATCTCTATTCAATCTTGAGGCATTCATTTTTTAGTATGTAGAGAGCTTATTTTAGATTTTTTTTTTTTTTTTACTGCTATTGGTATATGGGTTGTAGAAATTACATCCCCAAAAGTTAAGATATAAAAACTATCCCCATCTCAAGGAGTAAATGAATACTATTCTCCTCCAAGAATATCAAATCATTTGACAAAAAGATATAACATGACATTTGTACAAGCATAAAGAACAATATAAAGCAAAGAAAAAGGCAAGTCTAGGGTTAGGGTTTTAGATGTGGTGGACCACAAAGGGAGAGCCGATGGGAAAGGAGTTTGATTTGTTTATGGGAAGGATGTCGCCGCGAAAGGGAGCAAAGGAGCGCAACTCGTGCTCTTTCTCACTCTTAACTGCTCCTCTCCCGATCCGTCAATTTCTATTTCTATATAAGCTGCTGCCTGCTTTTTCATCTTTCCTCTTAGCCTTCCCCTTCTTTACGTATATAATATGGAAAATTGTTTCATGCCGACTGGAGTGTATTTTTACAATATGCGCTTATAAAGCATCCATCACAAATAGATGGTCTATCTAAACACAATTGTATGTAAACGTTTTTTTAGTATAATTATTATTTTTAGTTTTCAATTTTTTTTTTTTTTTTCTTCATATTCATGATATCTATGTTAAAGATTATATATTCTCTAAAAAATTAAAATCAAATTATATTTAAAAATATATTTATAACCAAACCTGCATTTCTGCAATACACAGACTGGCTGTATAGAAACCGTGTCCATATCATATTGCTCTTTTTCTATCTTGCTTTACTTCCCACAAGGCACCGCCCCTGTTGTGCCGCACGTGCCCACGTGACCATCGCCCTGGGTTTTGTTTCTATAAACATTTAACTTGACTAATAAACTACCTTACCTCTGTATTTATGCTCTTCTTATGCAAGCCCCTCTCCCTGTTCTTTTGCTTTTTCTTTTTTAGATGAATTATTAAAGTACCCCTAAAACATCCCAATTCAATCTAGAGAGTTTATTGTGTGATTTTTATTTCACTCGAGTATATCTTCAAAAAATATTTTTAAAACTTCCCAAATTATTATTCGTTTGACAACCGGGAACAAGAGGGGTAACTTTGGTAATTTGACCCACCAAAGACGCCCCAACCAAATGACAAGATTACATATGCATGCTTATTTGTGGTTCCAATCTTTCCTTAAACGTGACTTGAGTATTATTTTAAGACATTTTTTGAAAGAGGTACATCAGAAAAATAAAAATCACAATGTAAAACCTCTAATGTCAATCGAGATCTTTTGACCATGATGATATTTAGCCCTTTAAATGACATTTTCTATCTTGATAAAAATTACTACATTACACCTACATGTGTTTTCTCTAAGTGTTGGGTGGTGGAGATGGAGAGGTCGCTATGCAATATCCAGCAGGAGTTGCACAATAATCACGTTGTTTATAGAGCATAGGCCCATCTACCTCATCAACCTCCATTCATATCTCCACTCTTAACCCTGCCGGTGTCTATCAAAAACATACTCATCTCTGCCGTTTATTACAGTGATGGGTGGTGGAGATGGGCCAATACTATTTATCCTAAATAATATGACAGAATGCCCAGTATTTGCCTTTATTATTTCGAGGGGGTGTGTTTATGTGGTTCCAGGGAAGAACCGAATTCAGGATTGCTGCCGTAAAGCGTCAATTTTGTCTATTTTCGCATTTTTGCTTGGCTCCATTTGTCTTCATTGGCTTCTCAACCACACTTTTATGAGAGAGAAAGGAGGTTAGGGATAGGCATTTATTTTGAGGACAGGTTAAGATAAACTTTCGGGTTTCTAGTGAGCGATAAGGGTGGGAACCGGCTATAATTGGGGCAGCCTTGGCACTAGCTTAGCCTTTGTTCCTATATGACTAGCCCAAATCCCGTTTAGGCTGAGCCGTGTCAAAAATAAATAATAAAATAAAAATATGGGGCCACAGTCGAGACGATCCTCTTTTTTGGGCAGTTTAGTGGAGGAGAAAGCACCCAACCGATTTTCATTATAATAAAAAGAAAGTAAAGCTAATAATCTTATAGCCTTAAAATAAGGAAGTTGTGCCACATCATGAACTAATACAATAGAAAGAAAATACAGTGATCTAGATTGGCAAATAGTGGCATCTGAGAAAGCAGTTGTTTTTTTGGCAAATAAATCGACGACCATGGCTTTACAATAAATTTAGGTAAGGGACCGATTATGATTATTGAGCTTATATCTTTAAAAGAAAAAAGGGAAAATTTCGTATAGAATTCTAATTTCTCGCATTATTTTATGGTAGACCCTCTTTCCGTTTTTCTTTCAAGCAGCATAAGAAAACCCTTAAAGATTTCACTATACTCCATCATCTCTTATCTCCCTATTTTATTGACTTTTCACCATAAAAATTAGCCTCAACAAATCTTTTTATCTATTTCAACCAAATTTTTTTTTTAATGGGTATAAAAAGAATTGTTGGGGCTAATTTTTATGATCAAAAATCAATAAAATAAAGAGATGAGGGGGTACAGTGAAATCCTTAGGGATTTTCTTGTGCCGCTGGAAAGAAAAATGGAAAGAGAGGCTACCATGAAATAATATGAGGAATTAGGGCTCCATACAAAATTTTCCCAAAAAAAACGCATAAGTAAATTGGTAAGTCAATGGAGATTTGAGGACCTATTTTTTGGTGAGCTCATATCAGTAGTTAGCATGAACAACACATAGCATCCATGGAACTTTGCATCAATCTTGGATTATATTAACCAATAATAATGAGTTTCTCTCGATTTGCAAGAGAAAACAATTGAGTTGGATGGCCAAGTTAACACCAGTTTGCAAAGCTAGAAACTCTGCGTAGTTATTTGATGTTATACCAAGGGGGTTGCCAAACGTTGAAAGATCCATCCTCACTTCTAATTACGCCTCCAACACTTGCATGTTCAGGGTTTTGAAGTGAAGCACCATCAACATTCAGTTTGAAATGGTTTGGACTAGGAAAGGAACATGCAATCGGTATGTGCTGCTTGATTTGATGTGGTCGCCATGTGATTTAGACATTATTAACAACTACTCTCTCTGATAAATGAAATGAACAGGTTTTGGCATCTGCCAATTGACTAACATGAGAGGTAATTCTCTTGAGTTTGGATATCTTTCCCTAAAATACATGATGATTTTGTTTCTCTCATGGCATCCAGATTGTGGAAAAAGGGACAACCAGATATTCGAAAGACCCTTTAACTTGAATTTGAAGTTTATTCAGGTCTTGAGCATGTTTGAAAGAGATGTTTTTGAAATAAGTTTTTTACCGTACCTCCATACATCAGATCTCCAACTACCTTATAAGAAAACATAATGGAAAAGCAAATGGTAAATACTATCATCATTAGAGCAGCAAAAAGAGCACACAGAATCTATAGATATCATCCTTTGCTATACAAGAGAGAAGGTTGGAAGTCGATGATGAATAACCAACCAAGAAAATCATTTCGCCTTGGCGTGGTACTTGGAATATCACCGAGCTTTGAAAATGAGCTGAATGGAGCTTTTATTCTGAATAAAATTTCATGCCTCCTTAATAGAGGATAATCCATTAAAAGAATAAATCCGCATCAAGAAATGTCGTTGTGGTTGTAACCATATTATAAAAGCCTCAATCTCCTTCCAAATTCTAATTAGAGGACCACAGGTACGAGAAGGCAATAATCACGTTTGAGGAGAAGCTAGGCTGAACAAAGTGATCCCTTTTTAGGGCCACGCTGCCCCGTTCATTGCCAGCTCTATTGAGCGACCGCATATTGGTGGTCATTTACGACAAAGAAAGGACCTCAATCGTCTAAATCTTGAAGGACCAGCTGGAGGATATCATCAAATATGAAGGGGAACACATTTCCGTTCAATTTTGTTTTCCTTTTTCACCTACTCTTAGCTTTGAATCAGTGAAGATAAAGCCTGCCCTCTCGATTAAACAAGTTCTCTCTACTTCGCCCTTTCTCTCCGTCTCTCTCTCTCTTAATTTGCTTACAGAGTAGACTCCGAAGAGTACCGTAGGAAACAAGTTGTAAATTTCGTCTGCAGAGACATTGACGATCATGTTAATGGAAATTTCGTCTGCAGAGACATTGACGATCATGTTAATGGGCCTCTTTATGTTTTAAGCTTGAAATTAACCAGAGTGAGAGAGAGAGTTAGAGAGAGAAAGAGGGGAAAGATGGTGGGCTCAGACAGGTGCAAAGAAGCAGTTGGGATGATGGCCCTCCACGAGGCTCTAAGGAATGTTTGTATGAGTTCAGACTGGACCTATTCGGTCTTTTGGACCATTAGACCTCGCCCGTAATGTTCCCTTTCTTAATCTCTCTCCTGACGCACGTCCATTGCCCAAATTCTTCTGTGCTCCTCTTCTTCAACTTTCTTAGTATATGTCTGTGTTTAATCCAGGAGGTCGCGTGGTGGCAACGGCTGCAAAGTCGGAGACGATAATGGAAGCCTGTGAGTCTAATTTGGGCCCCTCTTTTGTAAAATGCAGCTCTCTCTCTCTCTCTCTCATGATTTCCCCTGTTTTTTCTTTCTTTTTTGAGGACCAAGTTACTGGGATTTCTTTTGTTTGGTTTCTTGAATAGACACTTGCAGAGAAATGTTGGTATAGTTTGTGACGAATGCTGTGAAGAGTGCTGTTTTTCTGGGTTAATGATGACATAATTTTTATCTGGTTAGTTTTAGTAATTTAGAGAGAAAGTGTATGTGGTATGGGTACTGAAAAGAGGAAAGTAAGTGTTTTTTGTGCAGGATGCTAATGTGGGAAGATGGGTTCTGTCGAGCCAGAGGGTTCAATGGAGGAGGAGGGGCTGAGTGTGTTGAAGAGTGTTTGGATGGAGATGATCCAGTTAGGAAGGCCTTCAGCAAAATGTCCATTCAATTGTATAACTATGGAGAAGGGTGGGTACTGGGTAGGTGCTTTTTTTTTTCTTTCTTTTATTTAGTCTCTAGTCTTGTTATGCGCATGTGAGAGAGATAATAAGCAAGAACAGCTGTTGATCTGACCTGATTTTTCAGTGTATAATTTAACAGATTGATGGGCAAAGTTGCATCTGATAAATGCCATAAGTGGGTCTTCAAGGAGCCTTCTGAATGTGAACCTAACATTTCCAACTACTGGCAAAGCTCCTTTGATGCTGTATGTGTCAGAAACAAAGCTCAAAATTATCCTCTCTCATTCACACTCATTAGTTGACGCTACATTTTGTTTGTCAAAGAAAGAGCGTCTCTTTGAGATTCACCATTGATTTCCTCTGCTTTTGCAGCTCCCACCAGAATGGACTGATCAGTTTGCCTCTGGTATTCAGGTATGAGTCTCAATGCAAAACCTGATCAGTCTCAGCCTTCATGAATCCACTTATCTCCTGTGCAGATAAACTGATGGGGCTTCCTTCTTTCTTGTTTTTCATTAAAAAAAACCGCAATTCAATAGACCATTGCTGTCATTCAAGCTGGACATGGGCTTCTTCAGTTGGGTTCCTGTAAAATCGTATGTTCTCTAATGTTTTTCCTACATTCAATTGAATGAATCCTAGCTCCCCACAATACTGATTTGAACTATGGAAACTTGGCTTTGTTTTGGTTGGATAGATCCCTGAAGATCTCCATTTTGTGCTGAGAATGAGACACACCTTTGAATCTTTAGGTTACCAGTCTGGTTTTTATCTCTCTCAACTCTTCTCAGCAAACAGGAACAACGGTGCCTCTTCATCGTCAAACCCCACGAAGCAAATGGTTCGCCCCCCTGTTTTCAATTGGGGGCAAAGGCCACCCTCCTCTGCAAATCCGTCACCACCTCCACCCCCCCCCCCTGCAACCAACTTCAACATTTCCCCTGTTTTCCTTTTACCTCATCAACAGTGCCCAACCTCTGATGAGCTTGAATCCGATATCAAGTGGCCTAATGGTCTCTCTTTCTTCACTGCTCTCACTGGTGGCTCTGACGATACCAAGCTCCTGTTTGGACCAGAAGGCATGGTTGGGGACCAACACACAACGGCAACTGCTCCTCCTCCTTTGGAAGGCTGTGGAGTGGGTGAGTATCTAAGCTTGGAGGGTCAGCAAGCTAGGAGTGGAGATGCTAGGCTCAGAAAGGCAGATAAGTTTAAGAGGAGCTTGACTCTGCCTGCAAGAGTGGCTTCCTCCTCCTCCTCTGTGGAGCACCACCATGGCTCCCATGTGGAACCGGGGATTTACTCAGATATCATGGAGACTTCTTGGATTGATTGAGTTGGAGAGTTGTCAGAGGTGAGAGTTAGGAGGCTGTACAGATAGAGGGAGAGAGATTTTGTTTCTGTTCTCAGTCTTTTTTTCTTAGTGGGAGATGGTTTTGTAGTTTGCCCCTGGTCGAGTGAAATCTAACCTTTCGGCTTTTGGGTTTGTTTCTTGCCATTGTGATCTAACTACTAAAAGGCCGGACTCCTGCTGAGCTATTAACAAGTGGGTCATACCATGGCTGCTTCTTGTGATCGTTCTCGACCATCTCACTCATATTTTTTGTTATCTACAGGAATCATGATTCTTGTCTTAGCAACGTAGTGGTTCTATTCTTATCATGAGGAGGGGATGAGTAGGGGACTATCATCCCTAATGAACTACCTGAAATTTTTTTCATCTCGAGTTTGATTTCCACCCTAGAGCACCAAAAAAGAAGACTAGTACCAAAGAATCGGATTGGTGGATAAAAGCCAGTACCAGCCCACTCTTGGAGCCCGATTCAAACTGCCCTTACAAGCATGGTGATTAAAATTAATGGAGGAAAAAGAGAAAAACCGTTAGAAACGGGTTAAAAAGAACCCAGATGGGTATCCCATATTTTGCAAGCAAACTTGGGCGGTTTTAAGAGTTATAGCGCAACAGAAATATCATAAACAAATATTGTAGACAGATTATTTCCCCTAGGACTTTACTCTTTCCCATTTCCTTTTTGTGAATCTTGGAGTTATATTGACAAATATCAGGCCTTATCTCTTTGACTGCAATAATTAATATAGACTATAGAGCATAAATTTCGACCCCCCGATGGAGGAGACTCAAGTCGATGGAATTTTGAGTGTGGCTAGCCGGCTCACCTCTCTCTTCCCATGTATATGTAGAGAGTTAGTGTTAGGGACTTGGCACCCAGGAAATTTCCTTCTCCGTTATGGATAGGACTTGGTTCAGTCCATCTCTTCCTAAATTTTGATTTGATTTGGATTGTCAAGAGTACGTATACCATGTTTTTGCAGGACCATATAATGTACATCTACTCCTCGGTTATCAGTTTGAAGTTTAGGAAACCACCTAACAATCACTAGAACATTATTTGAGACGGCGTTTTTTCAAATATATAGAAAGTGCAAGTAGGAAAAAAATTTCTTGAGATATATATGGGTTGAAGAGGACATCCCCAAAATTTAGGATCCTAAAGTTCCATTGTAGGTTGGGAGTTACTCAAGCCAACAACAAGACAATATACCACATAAGCATAAAAATTAATTCTCTCATGGGTTGTTAATATGGATTAAATATTTACTTTCTTGAGCTAACCAACTTGGCAAAATCAATTTGAGGAATCCGTTAATTTATCTCGAGGAAAAAACTCTTTTACACACTATAAAAGAAAGGGAAATGGTTTGATAGGGCTGCAACTCTATCAAAAAAAGTAAAGCCTCACTTCACAAGTCATCAAAAATTACAATTCAAGAATTGGAAAACATTTATATCGATAATTTCAGCTTGAATATTATGGTTGTGAAAGAAAATTATGACTTTAAGCCTAAAAATGGCGTATATTGTAACAAATTATTTAGATTGTCCATTTCACACTAAAAAAAGTGCACATAGATCTGCAAGATACGTGCATTTTTGAATTTCAAATTTATTGTCGATTTTGGTAATCGATTTTAGATCCATCAAGGAGATTCCAGTTACCAAAAGTGACTGTACAAAAACCAATTCTCTTACCTTGGATTACAAAATAGACAAAAACAAGCCAAGTACATTGAAGTTACAACTTGTAAAAATAAATTTTAACAAGGTCTCTATTACTACAGTGAGCTATTGATTTTCAAATACACTTAATTGAGAGGATACAACTCAATTGCGTTCCCTTGTACATGAATAAAACAATTTACAAAAGAGATCATCAAACTACATATGTGTAATATACTTCTGAAAATTCAGCACTATTTGAGCTTGCAATGCAAAATTATACATCAATAGACTAAAAAATCATTATCACAATGATATCCATTATATCAACATACATATGCTCAAGTGTGTAATGAAACATGACCATGATAAGTCAATCGAAGCTCTTTGGTACCTGGTTTATGATCTTGGGTTTTAGGTATGTGCTATTGGGTAACATGTGATGCCATAACACAAAATCGGTTCAATTCACTATCTAATCAAGCGGGAAGCCAAGAATCCATTGATACACACTTACTCATTGAAGCATTTGAAGAGATCCAAATAAAACATTTACTGGAGAAACTGTCAGAGAAAAAATGGGGTCATAAAACACAAAACCAACTCAAATGAATTCACAATCTGGCTCATAAAAATTTGGCATAGTCTCTTCTTGCAAAATCAATATTTCAAGAGATCAAGAAGAAGGTTTAAGTGACTGATATGATCATAAAATTTGAGAGAAATATCAACAAAAATTAGTCCAAAATGCAAGGAAAATAGCTAATGGAAAACTATGTCAAAATGTGCATCGATAAAGTTCTGAACTATATGGATTAATAAGGATTAATAATCAATCAAGGAATTAAAGATCTAATCATTAAAGGATGAATTAATGTTGCTGTAATTGAGAATTTACAGTAAGGAAAAACTAAAAGAATCAATGGGAATAGAAAAAAATAGATAATATCTGACTCAATTGTTGAGGGTCTGAAGACTAGAACATCCATAGCTTGAATTTGAACATTGGATCACCATTAATGGAGTAGTATATGAAATTCAATTGAGTTCTTCTCTTAGCTTAACATGAAGTAGAATCTTAGAGAGAGAAAGGATGAAGAAGACATGCCTTAGGCATGCCACACAATGGGCGAATGGAGTGAGAGTGGAGTGCCACATTTTGGAGGGAATTTGTAAAGTGAGCTTATAAGAGTGAAAATGAGGCTCACGGGGGTAGTTATAATTTTCAACCCTCAAGTGTGGAGATGTTTTTAGATGGATGAATCTTGGCCCTTCATATTATCTACCAATAGCTACAAAAAGAGGCATGATCCTAGCTCACCATCCACCATCATGCCATCAAGTTTTGTGGTATGGATTTAAACGCATTTATCCTCCTTAATTCAGGCCAATCTCCCTTGTTATAAAAAATCATATGCTCTTCACATTAAATAAAACTAAAACCTATGAAAGGTATGCCTTTATGGTTATTTGACAAAAATTTCGGAGGAAAAACAAATCTTAAAAATCACTCCATTTTATACGAGCATGTGTGACTAATAAAATCATGCCACATAGCCTATGTAGTTATCTACACTTTTACCATATATCCTTATGGTTCAGCTTGCAATTACAAACCTTATACCCCTTATAGAATCTTTCACAAATGTGTATAAACAATTTGTTTTAGGCATTTAATATGTGAAAAAATAATTTTTCAAAATCTCAAGTTTTTTGAAAATTTCATAATGTTGCACCCTTAACTTAAATGGACAAAAACGCAAAGGACATGAGGGTCCCCTTATGGGGTTGACATCACTTCCATGTGATCTCCACATGGGGAGATGTAGGAGCCCCTTGAGCTGACCCATGGATACCCATTGGCCATTTAGATATCCGGAGGGACTTCTTTATTTGTCATTTCTTTTAAACAATTTCAAAACTGGATTTTCTTGCCCAAAAGTATTTCAAAAAATCCACAAAAATCGTTTTAATGTTTTGTTAATAAATTAAATCATTGATTAAAAATATTTACATAGGAAATTAGAATCATTGGAGTTGAATAATGAAATAGATCACTCCACTTAGCTAGACTCAAAATCCAAAGCCATCTTCTTGGTATGACCCAACTGACTCATGACCCATAGTGTATAATCAGAGACACATGATCTCATCCTATCAAAATTAAACCGATGTGCAACTCTGAATCCGCATGTTTAGGTGGATTTTAAGTGTAACTCTTAAAGGACATGCATACACATGGCGTGGGAGTTCCTCTCTTAGCACATGTGTATAGTTCTATCTAGTAGATTCTTAGAAGAGCGACTTCTTATGTATTGTGACTGTATATGCATATGCTACAGAGGATCTAGGAGTCAAGGAGTTTGGCCAATGTTATCTATTGGACTTAACCTTTTTGTACATGGCTTTTCGTTATCAAGCCCATGCATACATTGCATTGCCCCTGACCCATTACTTAGTCATAAGGCACAAACATGTTAACTGACTCTAACTAAGAGGTAACCTTGAATCCTCTCGGTACCTCCCATCTTTAAATTCTCCTCATGACCATATCGGGGTTCCATGACTCTTGGTTCTAGATCCTAGAGTTATGTCATTTTTTATCCCCACTGAAGTCAATAGTCATTGAAAAAGGCAACATTTAAGGTCTTGATTTTTCCTTGTGCGTACGGTGGGACAAATCCTCTCTCAAACAATTGTGAGGGTTTGAGTGCGCTGCATGTTTGTGAGTGTGCGCATTCGTATTCTCCTATACGTGGATAAGAACCAACAAGAGAGGGATTTTGCGACGGGGGTGCGTTTTAGATGCTTACCTAGTCATTTTTTAGGACACACTGGGGCAGTTTGCTCTCTTAGAACAATTAAGAAGCCCTCCGGCTGTCTGCCAGTACAGTTTGGACACAGACTCTCCTTAAGATTTTAACACGTCTCTTCGTTCTCTTACTCTGGAAACTGCAACGAGGATTCGTCGGTACTCCTTTATAAAAGTTAACTCAAACGAGAGGCTGGCTGGCAAGAAATAGAATGAGGGGAGAAAAGTGATGAGAATCCCCATATCCGTGCAAACACTATGTGCTCGGGTGACTCACTTGACTAGCATCTTAGGAAGACTTCTCTCGAGTGACTGAGGGAGAGAGCATATGCGTCTCTCACAACTCAACTCAACTGTACGGAGGGGAAGTTAGAGCGATGGTCACAGGTTTGTAACTCTTAGGATGACTTTGAAAAGTATTGATTTGAGCATACATCAAATAGCGGGATACTATGTGATGCCGCAGGTTTGTTGCGTTTACACTAGAGATGGAATGGGGAAAGAGACGGGACTGCGTATTTTTTCGTGGGCACGAGTTACTGCGCGGGGCAAACAATGAGTGAAGAAAGAGAAAAAAGAAAAATGAGAAAGAGAGTGAGAACGGAGCCGCATGACTAGGATGGGCTAAGGGTAGTTCTCTCTTTGAGAAAGTTTTCTCTCTCTTT